ACCATATTTAACATAATTATGAACTTAAAAGAAATCGGTCCATTATCTCACCTAGCCCCCATACAACCCTACCCCCGAAATGGGCTTTTAAGTTCATAATTATGTTAAATATTGTAATATCTCTACAAAAATCGGCAAAACTTAGTTCTATATACGTCTTAATAATACTACCGATTTTCGTAATTATCGGACTTTATTTGACTCTAGCCCCCATACAAAGACCCCTTCAGAAAATTACTTGAATGTCCAAAATTAACTTATAAACACAAATATCACTATGAAATTCAGCACAAATAAATATTATAAAAATATTCACAAAATTTAATCGGGCTTGGTCCATATTTGACTGTAGCCCCTATATAAAGCCTATTTCAGAAAATTAGTTTTTCATCCATAATTTGCTTAAATGTATCGGAACAAGGTAATATTAAAGATAAATGCTTTATTATGAAAAATAAATCAGATTTAATATTCATAACTGGTGTAGAGTATAAAATAGTCGGTCACGGCCGACTATACTTTCTTACTTGTTTTATCTCCCGATTGTTAAATATTAGTGTGTTCTGATAGATCAGATACACAGTCACTTTAAGTGAGAATAAATTAAATTTTTCAGCTTTATAAGCTAAAAGTCACGGGCCCAAAAAGTCAATGTTCACTTGTCATTTAAAATAATAATTTTTTTAGACCATTAACTTTGAAAATCAACTTTGTTATTTAACAAGTAAGAAAGTATAGTCGGGCGTGGCCGACCATATGATACCCTACACCAGTTATGAATATTAAACGTGATTTATTTTTCATATCGCATTTATCTTCAATATTCCCTTGTTCCGACACATTTAAGCAATTTATGGATGAAAAACTAATTTTCTGAAAGAGGCTTTATATGGGGGCTAGGGGCAAATATGGACCAAGCCCGATAAAATTTTGTGAATATATTTATATTTACATAATATTTTATTGTGCTGAATTTCATCGCGATATTTGTGTTTATAAGTTAATTTGGGACATTCAAGTAATTTTCTGAAGGGGACTTTGTATGGGAGCTAGGGTCAAATGGGGCCCGATCTATATGAAATTTGGCAGGGTTATCAAGACTTCTATAAAACTTAGTTGTGCCGTATTTTATCGATATATCTGTATATTTAACATAATTATGAGCTCAGAAGCCCTTTTCGGGGGGTTATGTTCTATGGTGGCTAGGTGAAATAATGGACCGATTTTAACCATTTTTAATAGGCTTCGTCCTTCAAATAAAACGTGCGTGCCAAATTTCATCCAATTATCTTGAAAATTGCGACCTGTACCTTGCGCACAAGGTTTACATGGACAGCCAGCCAGACGGACGGACGGACGGACGGACGGACAGACGGACATAGCCCCGTCCGTCAGTCCGTCTGTCCGGCTGTCTGGCTGTCCATGTAAACCTTGTGCGCAAGGTACAGGCCGCAATTTTCAAGATAATTTGATGAAATTTGGACCAAGCACGTTTTTTGGAACAAGGACGAAGCCTATTGAAAATGGTTGAAATCGGTCCATTATTTCGCCTAGCCCCCATACCACCGTACCTCCCGATTTGGGCTTTTTATGCCATAATTACGTCAAATATGCTATTATCTATTGGCACAAATAAGTTTTATATAAGTATAAATGACACTGCAGATTTTCGTAATGATCGGCCCTTATTTGACCCTAGCCCCCATACAAACCCCCCTTCAAAAATGTCTTAAACGTCTAAAATTGACTTGTAACCATTTGTATCGCAATGAAACTCAACATAATTAACTATTATTTAAAAATATATCCTTTTCCCAAATTTAATGAAGATCGGCCCATGTTTGACCTATACTCCTTTATATATCGCCTCATTTAGAAAATTTGTTTTTTATCAATAAATTGCTTAAATACTTTGGAATTAAGTTAAAATTCAACATAAAAGTTTCTTTGTCGGCCATGCCCGACTATACTTTCCTACTTGTTTTGAATCTCTTTGTCTGTTCAATAACTAAAAGTTGTTACTAATTTTCACAAAAATATTTGAAATTTATATTGAAGTACAAAAACAATTTCTGATAATTTGTAACAAATTTTTGTTAATGAACAGACATTCTTTTTTTAACAAAATTTCTTAATATAAAGTTTAATTTTTAAACTTTTAAATAGTAAGTCTCAAATTGATTACAATAAAATTAAGGACAATTGACCTGTTAAAAGCGGGATTTGTTATTAAAAAGCGGGATCAACCTTTAAAAAGCGGGATAAGCCCGCTTTTGGCGGGATGTTTGGTCACGTAAGGTATAACAAACCTTACCTATTGACAATATTTGTGGAAAATTTCAACCCTCTAGGTCATTCCGTTCGGACTCTATCGTGCTTTCAACAGACAGACGGACATGGCTAGATCGTCTTAACTAGATCGTCATCAAATTAAGTTGAAAAATTTCAGTCCCTAAAAAACTACTGTAATTTGTACGAACTTTTGAGGCATTATTGAGCGTTAAAGTCATTTTCTGAAGTGGACCTTATTAGACCGATCTTCAATAACTTTTGTACACACATTATGTTTTGTAAATAAGTTGTTTATTTCGAATATCATCGCCTAAGTCGTATTTTTAAGTAACTATTGAGAGTTAAAGCAATTTTCTAAAGTGGTCCTTAAATGGGGGTAGGATTAGTTATCGATCCACCTTCATCAAAATCGATAGAAAGATTTCAGTTCCCATAAAACTTGTTCATGTCGAATTTTGATAGCGAGTTTTGTTAATGTCGAATGTCACCACCGCTGTTCTCGCAAATTTTGAGCCAGTAATGACCGTTAAATTCATTTCCTGAAGGGGACCTTATATGGGGGTACATTCAATTATTGATCGATCCACATAAAATTCGGTAGAGAGATTTTGGCTCGCAAGAAACTTTCTTATGGCAAATTTTATTGCTATACTCGTATTTTTAAGCCAATAATGAGCGTTAAAGTTATTTTATGAAGGGCACCATATATAGGGTCAGTTATGGAACAATCCTCATAGAATTTGGGAAAGAAATTTTGGCTCGCACAAGACATATTCATGTCGGATTTCATCGCTATAGTCGTATTTTTAAAACAGTAATGCCAGTTAAAGCTGTTTTTCGGGGGTTCACTTGTATGGGGGCTATTCGAAAACGTGGACCGATATTGCCCATTTTCAATACCAAACAAACCTTACCTGTAAGGAATATTTGTGCAAAATTTCAACCACTTTCCGTTCGGCCTCTATCGTGCTTTCAACAGACAGACGGACAGACATAGTTAGATCGTCTTAGAATTTAATAAGGACATTGAATATATATACTTTTGTGGGTCTATGACCCACATGTGTTACAAACGGAATGAAAAAATCAATATACCACCCATCTTTTTTGATGGTAGGTATAAAAATAAATAAAATTTAGTGAACCGCCACTTTAGACTTATTTCAACCCAACGTGCAACGTTGAAAGCACTTTTTATTTTCTTTGCAAGACTGTTTTTACTGTTCAGTCGTCGTGTTCAGTTCGGTTGAGTTGAAAAACCAAACTTTGTGTGGCTGCTGAAGAAAAACAATATTACTTGCTTGTTATTGCAGCAGTGTGTTGGTACAGTTGACTGACTTCAGTTAGTCAGAGGGGCAATTTTAAGAGCTACTATTTTTAAAGCTTGGACATAAATTTGGTCAAATATTTAGTAATTTGCGACTGATATTAGTAGTTTTTTGAAACCCTGGCTAAAACATACATAAATTTCGAGGCTAAATAGTAAATAAAAAAGCTAAATTTAGCTTTAAAAAGGCTAAACTGGCAACATTGGTCGTAAGTAAAGTCTCATAGCCTAAAGCAACCCTCACAAGCAATCAGCTGTTTTTTATGAGTAAACAACATTTATTTTCTCTTTTTGATTCTACTGTTTCATTTATTAACATATAATATTAAAAACAATGTTGTCAATAAATATACTGATTGCAATTTGCAAAAGTGATTTGAATAAGTATGTTATAAACTACTCGAATGACGTATCATACGTACATACATACATGAGTTAAAAAGCTATTAAAATCGCTTACAAATAAGTACTTAAAATATGTCATTACAAATAGGGAGTTAAAAAGTTGATTTGTTTTACGCACAAAAAAAAAAAAATCCGACACAGAAACGAACCTGGTTCTAGTGTTCGTTAATCCGATGTCGTGTTTGTAACACCACTGCTTATTTATTTTATTGTTGTGCATCAGCTAATGTTTTAACACAGAATAAAAAAGCAAAAACTCGAAATAAGTCTATGATTATGTAATTCATTATTAGAGAACTTAAATGTAATAGAAAGAAAGTTCTTAACAATTTTTTGCTTTGTACATTACAAAAGTAACAACGAACAAAAAAATATATAATAAATGTTTAACAACCGTCTGTATAAGTTCGCAATAAAAATGCCTATTAATTAACGTTTTTATTTACAAATGAGTTTACATCTCTGTGAAGGACATGAAAAGCCAAAAATAACAAAGGTTTTCATATAAAAACAGAGAGCGAAACGAGTGTGAATGAGTTTGAATTGTATACAGAGAGGAAACAAGTGGAAATGAATCACAGCAAGAAAGAAAGGAAATTGCGAATATTTTCTTTTTATCCATACGACATGAGTGAGAGTATTTGACTGTGTGTGTGGGAGTGTGTGTGAGTTTATGTTGATATAGTACATAAAATCAACAGTATGTTTTGTAAACAGTATAGGAATGTTTTTGTTCTTGTAGTGCAAACGTACGTAAATACAGTAAATATTTATGTGGGAAGGACATTTTTTTCAACCCACCATCACCAGCCACGATTTAAAGGATACGTGTCAGCCGTTTTAAAGAGTCTGGTTCATTTTCAAAATGTTCCAAGAACATATTGGCCACATGTGGTTGTCGTTGACGCAACTAAAGTTCTGCACGAACAGTATGGACCAATGTGTCTATTTCAGTCTGTCAGTCGATTTTCAACTTTCTGTGCCGGTGGACGTGCTATGTCGTGTGTGATTTTCATTCTAAAACATAAGGGGGAAATTCAATAAATTAAATAAAAAATCCACAAGAGAAAAGAAAAAAATATTGCATTTAAAGCAATAAAATTTAATGTGTTAAATCTATGCATACACATGTATTAATGAATGTCTGTGCTATGGTGTGAGAAAATAAATAATTGTGTTTATATAAAAAATAAAAGAAAAATTGTAATAATTCAATTTATTAAAGCGAATTCGTTAGTTGCCTTCGAAGCTGACGACGACTAGTACGAACACAAATTTTATTTTCTTAAATTCAAGACCAATTTATTTACATTTTGGTAGTCGAGCAGTTAAGTTAGGCACGTGTATTAGTGTGGATATGTCTGTGCAATTGGCGTGTTTTGTGTGTCATGTTTGTAAATAAATAGACATGTATCGTATGTAAACAAAAGCTTATTTAGAGTTCGGTATTTTCGGGATCCAATAGTACATGAAGTGTTTGCGCGGCACTTAAACATCGAGTCGATAATCGGTCCAATATCGTGTCATTTTGCAAAGTGATTCACTATAAATCTGAAATACATACATATGTATGTATATGTACTATATGTGTGTATATTTAAATTGAGTGATTTTTTACGGGGCGTATGAGTGTTTATCACATTTCAACTGTTGTGCTGCCCTCAAAATCTGCTAATTTTTAAAATAATTCATGTCAACTGAGGAATTCAACTTGTATTCTCTTGTTATATTTGTTACTCTCATCATTCTTGATGAATTCTTAATGGTGCTGTAGATAATAATACTATATATGTATGTATGTACATAAATAATATGAGAAATGATGTATATACATATAAGCATATATTGTTCCTGTTGAACGTTCATAGATACATACCTATGTACACACATACATATGTATGTATATGGATGTTAAATATTTTTCGTGAAGAAGATTAACGACACTGACCGGCGTAAGTGAATTTAAGTGGATAATTGAGATGAGCTAGTGAATGTGTCAGATTTGTGACATTTTATGGATATGTAGTATGTGTATTAAATGTAGCAACGGTTACTGCTCTTTATTAATGCGTTCAATGTATCAACATTCCACTTGCATGATAAATAATGTATGTATAAATTTATTTGTATTGTATTTTACTTTGACTATTTATAATTTTTGCTCCGTTTAGATTAGATATTATTTTATCTTAAACGACAAATTAATTAGAATATGCACAAAATGCATTAGTGGAATTTTCAATTATGTTGCTTATGTCATATGTATATACCCAGGAAAAACTTACATTGAAAAGTAATGAGTTAAAAATATAATAAAACCTCTTTTCACTACTTCTTCATTAGCATTTTAAGTATTTATTTTAACACGGTGATGACTTTGGAAGCAAGTACTTCTATGCTCGCTTAAAAATAGGGACTTAAAGAAGTACTTGCAATTTCGCTTACAAAGAAGTTGTTTAGTAAGGTGTTTTGTTTTTTAATAATAAAAGGGGCCAGCGAGAATATGGTTTTCAAATACAAATTTTGTTTTTCTTTTCCTAACACGCAATTAAATAATATGCGAAAACAAAATGACAACGCCGTTAATAAACTACTTCTATAACAGATTAAAAGAAAGTCATTGCTAGAGTACTTCAAAATAATGCAGACGGTAAGCAGTAGTCATTGAAAAGTAAGTGGTTATGTAAATACAACCCATTACCAAGTTTTTGCTGGGGAGTAGTCGTGTAAGTCTGGTCCTTTTGAAGCTAGATTTGTCTTGTCTATAAACGAGTAAACTTACGTACGTAAATACTAGTGTATTCAATTATTTGGGTTTTTGTTTTAATCCTTTCATTCGACAAATAATTATTTGAAGTTTAACTTAAGTAAAATGAGAAATAAATTTTTTTCACCGATTTACCACTATTAATTACAAACAAAATAAAAAATATCTCACTTCTTTTTAAGAAAACTAGACTGTTATATTCGCTATATAATTTTGTTTCCTTTAGGATAATTCCACAGATCGGACTTTTGTGTATTGAAGAGATTTTTATTCTCTGAATGATTGTTCCAATATGGTTATTAGTTAGTGAATTATGTTTGTTTTTTGATTTTTGGAAGTGAAGGGCTATGGTCAATTATGACCAGGTTTTAGTTAGTAATACGATTTAAATTGATGTTAGATTTATATGTGCAAACATTGTCGTAATAGCTGTTCACAGTAGAGTCTTTTGGTGGCCTGACGAGACTATTATACAATTTTCGAGAGTTATATCACGAGGTGTGCTTCTGCTATAAAATAATATCGACATGCTATGAATTATTATGTTAAAAATTAATTAAAAAAATGTTTATGAAGAAGTTGCTTTAGTTTTTGATATTTAAAATCTAGTATGAATTTCTTTCTGTGTATTTAAATCATATTTAATGTAAAAAAAAATTAGAAAATTTTCATATAACTTTTTAGTTAGTAACATACAATACCTAAAAAAAACAACAAAAAAGTACATATTTCCGGAAATGGATTTATTGTTAATAACTTCCTCGAATATCTTGGTATGAACTCAAAATTTTGCACAATTGCAATTGTGGACCGACCAATTAATTGGTCATAGCTCCCATATGTATAAGGTCCACATCTGAAAATCACTTAAACGCGCATAATTCATTCATAAATAAAGCCATCGGAATAAAATTCGATATGAATATGTTTTGTGTATATATAAATCACTTTACGATATTTTTTCTCAGTATCGGTCCATAATTGATCATAGCTCCCAAATAAAGTCTACTTTCGAAAATCACTTAAACGCACTGACAATCAAAATTATAGGGATAAAATTCGACATGAATGTGTTTTTTGTATATATAAATCATTATACGGAATTTGTTCAGTATCGATCCATAATTGGTCATAGCTGTTATATGAGGTTCTCTTCTGAAAATCACTTAATACCACATAATTTATTATTAAATGATTATATCCGGATAAAATTAGACATGAGTATGTTCTGTGTATTGATGAATCGTTTTGCTTAAATTTTTTCGAATAGTTTCCAAGTTTGTTCTACGAAATTTTTTAGTATCGACAGGCCATAGCACCCGTAAAAGGTCTGTATCTAAAATCTATATTATAGTTAAACAGTTCTCCATAAGAGAATTAATGTACTTTAGTAAATTTGTTTCCCTTAGTATCAACTATAAATCCGGTCCTTAAACTATAACAATTTATAAAATACACTGGGTTTTAATAAAAAGTAGCTTGGAGGTGGAGGGTATTTAATATTCTGCATAGCCTAATATAGCATTCTAAATGTTTTTCTTTAATTTAATATCTTCTGAACTTTTCTTTTTTAGCTGTTTATACCCAGGAAAAACTTACATTGAAAAGTAATGAGTTAAAAAGCTAATAAAACCTCTTTTCACTACTTCTTCATTACCATTTTAAGTCATTATTTTAACATGGTGATGTCATTGGAGGCAAGAAATTCTACGCTCGCTTACAAATAGGGAGTTAAAGAAGTACTTGCAATTTCTCTTACAAAACAGTTGTTCCATTATTTTTACTACACATTCAGTTTTTAGAGTGTTTATTGTGTTAAGGAAATAAGAAATTGTTAAACTATCAAAATAATTTCGACTGTATTCACGCAGAGAAAAAACATGCTTCGGCATGGTTAGGACAACTATTCTAGGTTTTTTATAACAATATTTTGTTGTCATAACCAAACAGTTGTTATTTTTATTGAATTTTATCAATAGTTTAGTTTCTGTAAACATTTATATGTTTATAACAATTATAAATTTGAGAATGATTCTCTGAAATATAAATTTTTTTACAACAAATGAACAATGATAACTATGTAAACATATTATATTATTTAGAACCAATTAAACTTTCATAACCTTAAATGGTAGATTTTTACATGTTTACCCATATAATGTTTATATATGTTTATATAAGCAAAATACGTTTACTATTAAAAATATTTTGTTATCGCCATTTTTATATCACTTCTGTGGTTTATCTGTACTAGATCGGATTAAATAAAGTGTTGAACAAACGAAGTGTTAAATGAATTCTGAAAAAAATAATATCTAAAAATATAATCGTAGACAACATTATAAAATTTAAAATATGGTACATAAAAAATTAATAATCAAAAAAAGATTATAGAATATCTTAATATTCACATGAAAGTATGGATATATTAATTTTTATTTATGGGAGTACCAGTGCTTGGAAGTTTTGTGTTTGTTTAAAAGAAAACTAAAAAAATAATTACATTTTACGCCGAACACATTGCTTGATTGCTTGAAAGTTTACAAGTTTTACAAGTTTATTTTACAAGTTAAAATCCTATGAGAATAGAATTCATTCAGAGAAAAAATTTTCAGGATCGGTCCATATTTGGTCATAGCTCCTATACAAATCAGAGATACAAGCCGATACGGCTCAAATCGGCGGCGGCTGGCCGCCGGTAATATTTTGCAAGCCGCGCCGCCGCCGACTTCTTTCGGCTCAAAAGCTAAGCCGGCTTAAACGTAGCCGCTGATAAAGATTAGAATCACACATGTATTTCAGGACATAATTTCACCAAATTGAACGGAGTTGCCACTATTTTATATTCTTATGGCAAATTGAAAAGAGTTGCCACACAATATTGTGCTAATATTAAAATAGTGAAAACTACTATAAATGTCCATTTTCTGCAGAAAAAAACTTATATAGAGACAGGTTTCTATGTAACAGACTATTATACAAAGATTTTTCAATATAATAAACCTTATAAGGTCAATTTCTAAAGAAAAAGTTAAATTGAGCCGACAATTTAGCCGCCGCCGATATTTTCTGTAATAAGCCGCCGCCGCCGATCATTTCACATCGGCTTGTATCTCTGATACAAAGTCCCCTCCTGAAAATCACTTAAGCGCACATAACTCATTACTAAATTAAGATATCCATATACAATTTGGTGCAAGTATTGCTCTTGTATACAGAAATATTACTGTGATTTTTTTTTCCGATCGGTCCATAATTGGTCATAGCTCCCATACAAGGTCCCCTCCCGAAAATTACTTAAACCCAAATAACTCATTACTGAATTAAGTATATACCAGAATATACAGAAATATTACTAAAAATATTTGTTTCTGATCGGTCCTTAATTGGTCATAGCTCCCATACAAGATTCCCTCCCGAAAATCATTTTAACGCTCATAACTCATTACTAAATTAAGATATACATATACAATTTGGTACAAGTATTGCTCTTATATACAGAAATGTTACTGCGATTTTTTTTCCGATCGTTCTGTACACGCAAAGAAGAAATATGGTTAGGGCTACCATAAACTGAAACTATCATTAATGTTTGGAATTATAATTAGGAGAACCATATAAAATATTTCCCTTTGGAGATCATAATATGATTCTTGTAGGTTGTCATAAGTTAACATATTATTGTTCCTATAACAATTATAATATAATTCCTACAATAATAATATGATTAAAGTTTTGGAAAAAAATTTACTATAAAATGGTCACTACAATCATAATATATTTTTAATTTTACCATCATTTGTTCTTTAATTTACCATTATATTATACCCATTAATAACATCAAATATTTGAAGGAATCATTTTATTACCAACAAAAAATAATTTTAATTAAAATAACAATTAATCAAAATTACAATTTTCCATCAGTCAATATAAATTGAAGAATATCTTAGAAAAATCATTATGATTTTAATTACGTAATTTATATGTAATTACGTACATTATTACTTACATATATTGATGGCAGATCTGCTAACATTTGTAATGTCGATATACCTATTCCTAGTTAAGTGGTACTTCTGCTAAAAACTGATTAAAGCTGATCAAACGGTGTAGAGTCTGGTATACGATTCTTTTGTTCTGCATACACGAAAAATACATCCAAATTAGAATTACTCGTTGACTGTGGATATTAAAAAAAATAATTTTGTGACATTTCACAAAAAAGATATGTTTACAACAATTAAAAAGAAAAATTATAAAATATGTAAAAATAGAAAATTTCTTATACTTTATGAATTAAATAATCACTTTTTATATTTTACACTCACATAGTTTTAT